AGTATGGGCAGGGAGGCAGGGCCAGAAGTGAGGAGGGTTAGATGTGGCAGGTAGGGCTGGGTAAATCCAGGAGGGCATTTTGGAGGAGGTAAATAAGTCCTGGAGATGACTGGATGCCGCATGGAAGCATACAGCCAGGAGCTCTCTAACCACACCTCAGTAGACTGGTTGCACTGAATCACCCGGTTGGGTGGGGTTTAGGGGTGTGCTTTAAAATTAGACTCCCAGGCCTCATCTCTAGCATATCGAATCAGACTCTCTGGGGGTGCAGTCCAAGAATCTGTTTTGTTTTGTTTTGATATGCAACTAATCACGGGAGCCACAAACCCTTCCCACTTCCCCATTTCACGTGCTGGGGAAGTATGTAAAGGAAGTACAGAGAGGCCTAGGGACTTGCTCAGGGTCTCACAGCACCCAATTCCAAAGCCAGGGCTGGCACCCAGGCCCCTTGGTTCCCAGCTCAGTGCTCATTCGACTGCTCATTCACCCTCGGGCTTCTCAGTGGGCAGGGTGGAAACACAGCTTCCCTAGATGATGGTCTCAGCCTCCTCCCCCCGCCTCAGCCACCCTGCAGCCGGTTCTCAAGATGGCAAGTGGGGGGTGGATGAAGGTGGTGGCAAAGCGAGAAAGCGCCTGGAATAACACGACATTTTGAAATGTGAATCACTGGCACTTTCTGTTTTCTCCTGTTCCCTCTCTGCACCCTCCCATTCCCCGCCCCTACCAGGCACTCTCTGAGCTGTAGGAACGCTAGGCCTGGACATCCACCCAGCGTGTGGAACCAGCTGGGGAAGCCACCTGCGTGCGAGAGTGGGTGGAGTCTGAGATGAGAGCAGAGACTAGGGCTCTGGGCCTACTGCTGTCCCTTCTTAGCTGTGTGACTTTGGGCAAGGCACTGCACCTCTCTGGACCTCAGCGCTGGGATGCTCACCATAAGGCTTGTCAATACCCTTGGGCTGCCACATGGTGGGGGGTGGGGGCCCTGCAAGACCTACTCTCTTCTGAATCCCTCTTCTGCCCTGCTGTCTTGACATTCCATCGCTCGTGTTCCGGTCTTTTGAACCCTGAGTAACAGGAGCCCAGGACGGTGCTGGTGGGGGGGTGTTGGGAAAGGGGGAAGCTGGGGAGGGGCAGGTAGGGCTGCCCAGTGGAAAAGGGGCCATCCAGCTGCTGAACGAGTGTCTGAACTCCCACCCCCAGACACTTCCTCCACGTTCCCTCGACTCAGGAGCTAATGATTCAGAAACAGAGGTCAGCTCCCGGCTCCGTGTTGACATGCAGTTGCAGGGCAGAGCAAGCCAATGGTACCCTGGGCCTCAGGGGGCTTGTGCCCTCTGTGGTGTGAAAGGTCGTTGGGCATTCCTTAAGTGCCTCCAGTGCCAGGGCTTCCCCTCAGGCACCAAGGAGTGAGTTGACTCTGTGTGTGTTTGTGTCCCCATCCCCAGATCAGACCTGACTCACCCCATTTCCCCGCAGTCCAATAGAGTGCTGGGTGCACAGCAGGGGCCCCAGGGCCATCCCTGCGTGGAATTCATGCTGCCTGGCCAGGACCTCCTGAGCCTCAGCAGGCAGGAGCCTTGGTCTCAAGAGGGTTGCCTTTGGGCAAGGCTTTTTTTCAGGCCCTCAGTGACCACATTTCTAAAATCGTGGTAGTGGCCAGGTTCATAGGCTGAGGAGCTCTTTCTGCTCTCCCTCGCCACAGGGTCCCTCTGCCTCAGCAGGAGAGCAGGCCAGAGTGCAGTCTGAGTGTGAGGCAGATGTGCATATGCAGGAATTCAGACAGGGCTGGCACATAGCCCCTGCTCAGTTAATGTCTATGAGGGGAAGAAAGGAGGAGGAGGGAAGAGGCAGAAAGAGGGTCAGGCTGGTGTGTGCAGCCCCATCAGCTGGCTCTGTGCCTATCTGATCCCTCTTGACCCTCCAGCTGGCTCCTGCCCACCCTCCTCTGCTTCCTCCTGTGGCCTTTTCTCCTCCTCCTGAGAAGAAGGTGATGCTGGAAAAAATGGTGGGGAGGGTACTGGAGAAAGCTCCCTAAAAAGTGGAGTTGTGTTCTAGAGACTAGGGAAATTGGGCTATACGTCTCCAGACCTCCCTTTCTGAGGAGCCCTCCATATAGCAGGAGGTGCTCAAAGCTGAGTGTCACAACCCTGAATGAACTTGGCAAACGACCTAACCCTAACACCCCATTGATGGCGTCCCAGCTGTAGACCCCTGTCTGGCTAGGAGGGACAGTGTTTAGTTTGCCACTGAGAGAGGGTGGTGGTGTGGGGTGGGGCTGTAAGAGAGTAATGCACCCCAGGAAGTGGGAAGCCAAGAGTGGGGAGAGTTCCATGCCTAGGAGCTCAGGGCTCATTTGTGGCTGCTCACGCTCACCAGGTTTTGTCACCTGCCACTGGCTCCTAACCATTGATTAAAAATAGTCCTCTGCTTGCCCTTACATGTGACCAACCTGTGGTCGGAGCATCCTACCCAGGCTGGGGTTGGGCTGCACCAGCATCCTGGCCAGCCCTGCCCCAAATGAGACAGGAAGTGCTCTGAAGTGCATCTGTAGCTGACGGGGGCCATGGTGGGGGGAACCCTGCCAGCAGCTAGCTGGGAGAGTTTGGCTTACCTTTCTTAGTGTTTGCAAGGTCAATTTCTTCCTCCTTGTTACCTGTCCCTCTTGTTTCTCTTAAAGGCCATCTGGAAAGAGGATATGGCTCAGAAGCATTTCTGTTCTCTCTCTGGACCTGAACACGGTTCCCCAAGGGTATATCATCTTGGCTGGCATGGTGGGTGGAGAGGATATGGGGACAAGGTGGACCCTAGCTTAGAATCCAAGCCACAGGGGCTTTAAACTCAAGAGAAAAAATCATGGAGAGCTACAGGCAAGTCATTTTACCAATGAGGAAGCAGCTCCTAGGGAGGTGAAGTGACTCATCTAGTGACTTCAAAATAAAAAATTCCCATTTCACAGGTGAGGAGACAAAATCATAGAGACAAAGTGTGACCTGCCTAGGGTAACACCACAGTGGCAGAACTCTGGCTGGACCCAAATCTCTGGGGTCCTCGCTTCCTTCCATCCTGCTGGACATCTCTATGTGTGTGATCTGTTGATAAATTAGTTACGCTTATCTCCATTTACAGATGAGGAAACTGAATCTCAGAACAATGGTATACTTGGCAAATAATGACACCTTCAGCTCTGCTTGAGATCAGACGCAGCAAGTCCAGTAGAGGCCCAGGTCGCATCTCCTCTAGGAAACCTGTCCTGACGATTCCAGGCCACGTGGAGTCCTTCCTTCTCCAAAGTCTTACTACATTTATTTTGAGGAATAGAAAAATAATTCTAAGAAAGAAGCAAGGAAGCATTTGTCCAATGCTCCTGGCATGCTGAGTACTCTGTCAGCACTCACGGGTGCCTAGGGACCACCTTGAGCAGGACTCAGGATGACGCTCATTTTACAGGTGAGGAAACTGAGGTTCAGAGGGCTCAGGTCCCAACCCATGCCTGTCTGACTCCCAAGTTCAATGCGCTTTTCTCCCTTATTCAGCCCCACATTCTACTCCCCTAGAATCATTTCCTGAGGGCTTTCTTGTCTCTGCAATTTGGCTGTAAGTTCATCAGTCATCGAGATTGGGTCCCTGCTTGCACCGCATGCGGCTGACCTGGGCCTGACCTCGGCAAAGGGTCGGCACGGACTCTAGGCCTTGAGAAGGAGGCAGAGAGGGGGCAGAGGCAGCAGGCCAGCTCCAACTCCCCCCAGCCACTTCCTAGCGCAGTGAGGGCTGTTAGTTTATTTCTCAGAACTTCAGTTTCCTCATCTGTAAAATGGGGTGGTACTAACCATGGAGTCTCAGGCTCGCTGAGTGAAGGTGGAGTAAGGTAAGGAGCTTGAGTGTCAAGAGCCCAGTGTGAAGCCTGGCACATAGTGGGTACGCAATATGAACTGCGATTACTCTTGTCAGCCTGCTCATTTTGTGGGGCATCTCTGGAGTGCCCTCTCATCCCCAGCAACTATGATCCAGCCTTCCTTTTCTGGAGGAAGCCTGCCTTTCCCTGGGCCCTGTGGGTGTAGGGGCTGGATCTGGCTGATAGGCACACCGGGTACTGCGTTTCTGTGTCACTTTCCTTGGGTGGTGGCTGTGAACACCGCAATCTCTGTGTCCCTGTCCTGCCTCCACACTTTGTTAACCCTGAGAGCTGAGGGTTTGTTGGTGCTTCCAGACGCCCAGAGGGAGGACAGGACCTCAGCTGCGACGCTGGTTTCCCCTGGCTAGCCTGCCTTGAGCTAGGGGGAAAGCCTTCAAGATGAGCTCCCAGCTTCACAGCCCAGCGGGGGTGGGTGGCTGACTACAGGGGCAGAGCACCGTCCAGGAGGTAGTCGCTGCAGACATGCTGCCAGGCACATCTCAGTCACCACCAAAGTAGCAGCTGCCAGGCCCCCTTTTGATGGAAGAGAGACCTGGAGGTGGGAGAAGAGAGCCTCCCAAGTCAGGGAGCAGGGGATGGGATGGGGTGGGCCATCTGCATGATCTAAGCTTCCAGCTTAGTTCTCCCAGTCTTTAGTCTTAAGCGGCAAGGGCTCCCTTGGATGCTCAAACCAAGCAGATATCTCGAAGGGGAGTTTGGACCTGTCTGGGGCAGCAGTACCCATGGGTGGTGTTTTCTCTGCACTGAGTTATAACCTGGCTGTACATACAGCCCTGCCTACATCCTGCCCTTGCTCCCTCAGCCCCAACCACTCTGCACTTTCTTCTGTCCCTTGAATAAACCAAGCACGTTCTTTCCCCAGGCCTTTGCTTCGACTGTTTCCTCCTCTCAGACAGCTCTTCCTTCTGACCTTATGCAGGGCACCCTTTCTCATCAAGACCACCCCGCTCATGGGGGCCCCCATTCCCCAGGGCAGGTGACCCTCTTATATGACCTTCATGGTCCATAACACCAGTGGGAATTATCCTTATTAGATTGTTTCTTGCCTCTTTTTTGTCCTCCCACTGCAATGGAAACTCCTCGGGAGTCTGGATGCTTAATCTCTGCTGAGACCCAGTGCCTTGCACTGAAGGTGCTCAGGAAATACCTTCTGAATGATCAGAAGCCCCTGCCATCCGCTAAACTGCATCTGTGATGACAGAAGCCAAGGAATGTGAGGTTCATCTAGAGAGCTCTTGTGAATTTTCCAAGGGTATACACGACCTAGTTCATTAGGTCCCAGGATAATCCACGGCCACTCCTTCGCCCAGCACAGGGGAAAGTATTGAGACCTGGAGAGGGGCAGGATCACCATGAAGGTGACACACCTGGCTGGAGGGGCAGCAGCAGGAGTGTGGCCCCTTCTGAAAGCTGCAGGCTTATGAAACAAAACATAAGGAGAACATGTATTCGCCTGGACGTGGAGCCTCGGCCTCACAGGTCCTGACGGGGCCAAGACCCCTATGGTAAAGCCCCTCCTACTTGCAAACAAGGACGCTGAGACCCAGGGAGGTGCGTGGCTGATCAGAGCTCCCACCACAAATTAGAAGTAGTCTTCAGATTGTAGATGCGTCTGTTTCTTCGTGTGCCAGGCGGGTGGGGAAGTCAAGCTTGCCAATGTCCACAGGGGGCTCAAGGGGTCTCAGATGAGGATCTCAGAAAGGATCCTGAGGAGAGAGGGCCAGGTTGCCTAGAGCCCCTCTGTGGAAAACCCTGGTCAGGGGTCAGTACAAGGGAGGAGAGAAGAGCAGTGGTCTCAAAACTTTACAATTAAGAAAAAAAAAATCAGACCACACAGTCATCAATACATGTATATATATATCTTTGTTTATTCACTGTGTACATTCAAATATAATATTATGTATGAAAATTGTGCAAAAATAGACATTTTGAAATGAGATTTCAAAGCATATGTAACATTTCTGTTATTTTCTTCCCATGACAGTCGTGCCCAGCCCTGGGCATTAGGACACTCCCTTTACAGAGCACTCTTTAGGAACTTGTGCTTTGGGGCCCAGCAGACCTGCGTTTGAATCCAGGACTTTCTTGCCATTATCTGTGGCTTTAGGGCAGCTTCTGGGACACAGTCTCTTCCTCTGTAAAACGGGACACTAATTCCTACTTTGCTATATGGTTTAAATGAGGTAATACTTAAACGGTGCTTGGTACTGGGCTTGGCAGCCTGGAAGAGCTCATATATGGTAACTATGGTGATTATTATTACCAAGATCGGGCTCATCCTTGTTTGCTAAAATTAATGAAACTCAACTCTAAATACCATGGACCTGCAGGCTTGTTTAATGAGCTGCCATATCCTCACCAGAGATGCCGGGTCATCGCTGAGTATAAGCCTGGAACTAAGATGACAGTTTCCCTTGGCTGAATACGATGCCCCCAGCATTGATGCAGATGGACCTGGAACCTGGCTAAAGAAAGGCCAGCTGGGCGTCCCCGAGGATGGGGCTGAGAGGCCGGTCAAATTTCAGCTTTCTCTGTGTTCCTTTTAAAATAATTGAAGTGTCAGCTTGGGTTCACGGGCTGGTCACAGTTTCCATCCCTCCCTAACTTCATAAGGCAAGTCCATGAATTATACAGTGCCGGAGCAGACGGTGCTAAGTAAGGATGCATCACAAGCCGGGCTTAATAAGGACACTCCAGCTATTCTTGGAAGGCATTTGCAAGTCAAAAATATGGTGCATGGAGATCTGATGTCGACTTCACATTCTGAAGATTTCAGCTAGGTCAGCATTATTTTATGTTAAATCCCATCAAAACAAAAAATAAAGAAATAAGGAAGTGGTATAGTACATTGTTTTGCTTTGTTTTTAATTTGAACTTTTTGGTAATAACACAAATGGTCAAATTTGCCTACTTCCTCCCACACACTCCAACCCCATCTCCCATTCCCACACCCCCTCTAAGTAATGTCAACACACATTCTCATGGACTCATATGGTGTGGGTACATTGCCTTGCTGTGGAATTAGGAAGTATTCCTACCATTATAATTTTGTGCTAAATAGTGAGCAGATAAAAACTTTCCTATTTTCTTTCTTTTTTTCACCAAGCTTTCTCATGACCCTTACTTGCTCTTTTCTATAACATGTCCACGTGTTAAAAACTCAGCCATTTATCAAAAAAATAGGGACTGCCATCTATTTAAGAAATTAAATTGCGCCGGGGGATAGGAACCAAGAACCATAGTAAAAGCTGGGAGGCTTTTCTCCTCTACTCCAGGAGGGTGGCATTTCATCCAAAATGCCCCAGGAGGGAGGGCTGACCATTCTGGATGGCTCCTTCGTCACTTCCTGAGAATCAGCTGCCTCCGTCGGAGATGCTGGGCCCTGTAGTGCAGGGATCCCACTTAGACTTCCCTTTATGGTTCACACGTGGCTTTGTTTATAAACACAGTATTTCAGGGGAAAGGCAAGCAGGCATCACGTGCCAGGAGGTGAGGGAAGCACAGAAGCAGGAATATCTAAGAGGCCCCTGCAAACCTTTTCTGGCCATTGATGGCAAAAAAAGAATCATGGTTTCCCTAACTCACCTCCTTGCAACCAGGAGAGCCACTAGCATTTTTGTGTACACAAGGGCCAGGTTCATTTTGGGAATCCTTAAATGTAAACCCAATACAGCAGCGATGAGAGTATTTATATCAGCAGCAAAGTGGAGGAACAGCCTGTGAGCTGGAAACCTCTTGGGCTGGAAAAGTCCAAGTGCTCAGAAGAAGGCGTGTAGACCAGCATTTCTCAAACTTAAATATGCCCAAGAGTCCCCCTGGGGATCTTGTTTAAATAAAGACCAAGATTCTGCAAAGGGCCTAAGATGTTGCGTTTCTAAAAGTGCCCAGGCAATGCTGCTGCTGCTGCTGGTCCATGGACCCCACTTTGAGTGGTGAGGGGTGTAGGCCAGGTCCCTTTTTCCAAGAAGGCTTGCATTCAGGTTACTGGGCTCAGATACTGTGATGAGGGGTGGGAGGACATGTCTTCACATCTGCTTCCAGACTGTGCCTTAGATGGACATGATCGGCTCATACAGGATGGTGGCCAGGGGGTGCTGGGCAGGTATGGGCATGGGACAGAACACAGGACCATGAGTCAGGAGAAGAAGTGGATTTTCCTGGCACCACCTGGCTCCCCTACTCAGCTGCGGAGTAGTGGAGAGTATTTGATGACAGGGAGGTCATTGGCAGCTTTCGTAAGAGCAGATATGAAGTCTCTAGGATATGTTAAGTCAAAAACCTAAGTGTAATGGGATGTGTATGGTAGGCTGACACTGAGTAAAGAAAGTGAGGGACCACATACACATAGATGAGTTTGTGTAAATGGAGAACTTCTCATTGTGAAAAGATACACAAGAAACCCATAAACAGTGGTTGCCTTTGGGGGAAGAAACTGGGAAAGAACATAGGTGGAGCAAGAAGAGCCTCCCTCCAATTGAAACACTCACTTCTCTGACCACAGTGATTGGTTCAGTGGGCTTGGACGTGTGACATGCCCTGTTCCAATCACAGTGAGTCTCTGGATATTTGCTGGACTGTGTTCTCCGTTTCATTCCAATGAGACTCACTTGTCAGCATCTGCTGAGATCTGCCATCCAGTGTGGTGTTCAGACAGTTGTTCCCCTCCTTGCTGGCATCAGCTGGGACGTGACAGTGTCCTCATCTGATCTCACAGGACATCTTCTCCTGTTGTTGTGAGTCCCCTGCGAGGCTCTGCCTTTCAGGTGACCCCTCTGCGCCGCTCCTTACGGGCATAGAGAAGCCCATCTATTCTCTCTGTACCAGGCTGAGTGAGTGGTACTCTCTTGCTCCATATGTCTGGGCTCCTCCACTGGACAGGGATCTCTCTCTAAGGTTTGCTGTCATCCCAAGGCCCCTCCCTTCTTGTTTCCCAAACTGGCCAGAGGTTTCTGGGTCTGATACTTCCTCTCCCACTGAGATGGGACCACAGGAGGAGTCAAGCATGTGACTTCTTGTCCCCGCCTCACATATCAGTAGCTCCTTCTGCTGCTCTCACCTCTGCCTCCGCCCACCCCAACCCTCTTAGTTATCCATGTCTAATCTCGGCAGCAAGGCAGTCTGGTTCTCCAGCTCTCCTTTTTCTAATCTAGACTTTATGCCCCAATTCCTTCAGAGCTTTGCTTCTGATGATGCTAAAACTAGGCTTTTAGAACTGAAAAAAAAAAAAACAACAGTTTTTGCAAATCAAAAGCCTTATCTTTCAAGAACTTGTCTCTGCTATGAGTACCAAAGTTCTATTTTGAAATGAAAAGAGTTGACTGTTTCTCTTCTCCTTATATTCCATGTTCCTGATCTAACAGTCCTAATCTTGCTTGAGGCCAGGCACCTTTGCCTTGGGTACATGGGTGTGGGAAGTATGATTGTCCTGCTGTGGCATCAATGGCCCTTCAGCTCCCCGCAGCCTCCCTGAGTTCTGCAAGGGAACAGGAGGAAACAATTTTGGAGTTGGGGCACCCAACTAGTGGCAGAACTAGTCCCACTTCTGCCACTCAATTGTTGCATGATCTAGGGAAGTCACTGAATCCTTTTGAACCTTGATTTCCTTATCTGCAAAATGGGGAGAGCAGCAACCACCTCTCAAGGTTGTTTCAGGATCAAGGGAGATAACACATGTGAAAGTGCTTTGCAAATTACAAAGTATAGTATGAACATGAAGCATCATCACTTTTCAGTGTTCTTAATTTCTCTGTGTAGTTTTCCCGGCCAAAGGTTTCTGTTTTGAGCTCCCATGGCAATTTGCTCACAGAGCCATGAATGTATTGTATTGTACTGAACTTATATTTTAACGTGTCTGCTGGCTTCTTGCAGTGTATGTGAGTGCTTGGGGGGCAGGGACCACACCTATGTGATCTTGGCACCTCTCGCCTTCAGCCAGTGTCTGGCATAGAGTAGGTGTCCAGTATGTGTTTGCTGATGAAGGGGTGGACACTTAGCAAGCACTCAGTAGATTCGTGTAATATAAATAAACAATTAGCCAGGAGCAGCAATGGGCTGGGACTTCTGTAGACAAGTGGTTTTCAACCAGGAGCAATTTTGTCCCCTTCCTCCCAGGGGGTATTTGGCAATCAGGAGATGTTTTTGGTTGTCATAACTTGGGGAATGCTACAGGTATCTAGTGGGTAGAAGCCAGGGATGCTTCTAAACATCCTACAACGACCAGGACAACCCCCTACAACAAACAATTATCCAGTCTAGAACGTCAAGAGTGCCATTGCCTAGAAACCCCGCTGTAAGCTCTCTTTTTAAACAGTCCTGAGAAATAAGTCCTATGAATCCAGAGTTAAGGGAACCTTAGACTTTGGGTTTAAACGTGATGTCTTGATTATCTTTGATGAATGGAAGGGAGTGGAGATATGGTGGCTAATGATGAAGATTCTGAAATTTATTACTAGCTGGGGGTGGGAGAGGAGAGAGACTTTGGAAAAGTTCAGCTGAAGAAAGAGAGTTGGCATCAGACAGGATGGGGTGGGGCCCTAGTGTACTGGCAGGCACTGAAGGAACCTCTGAGTACAGAAGGTAAGCATGTGTGCTGAGCTCCATGACTGTCCATCAATTCCCTGTCCTCCTTCTGCAGGAGGCACCTGTTGAACTCAGGCATGGGCATGTGACTTGATTTGGCCAATGAAACGTGAGAGAAGTGACATCCACTTTGAGGCAGACACTTTCCGAGTGAGTGTGTACTTCCCCATGTTCCCCAGTGTGGTTGCTTAGCCAGCCTGGGCCCCAGAATGAGATAACAGCAACATACAGCATGACCTGTAATTGCTATGAAGATAAGAGAGAAACAGACCTGGAATGCCTTACAGCGCTGCAGTTTTTTGGATTATGTTTTATTGTACCATAATCTATCCTATCTTGAGAATGTACTATATTTGGGCTGATGTAGATAGCAATCCTGTGTAACTGAAGTTCAGCTCATCTTTCCTCTCCCCTTTGAATTGGTTTGCACAGGGATCTCTGAGGTGTCTTGGCTGGAGAGAGACAAATGCCAAATGACTTGGACCCCTAACTGTTGGCAACAAAGAGAGTCAAACTCTGTAAAACATTTGGAGGGGTTTATTCCGAGCCAAATATGAATGATCAATGGCCTGTGACACAGTTCTCAGGAGATTCCGAGAACATGTGCCCAAGGTGGTCAGGCTACAACTTGATTTTATACATTTTAGGGGGACATAAATTGTCAATTAATATGTGTAAAATGTACATTGGTTCAGTCAGGAAAGGTGGGACAACCTGATTCAAAGATTTTCTGATTGGCAATTGGTTGAAAGAATTATTCTCTAAAGACTTAGAATCAATAGAAAAGAATATCTGGGTTTACGATAAGTGGTTGTGGAGACCAAAGTTTTTAATCATGCAGGTTAAGCCTCCAGGTAGGAGGCTTCAGAGAGAATAGATTGTAAACGTTTTTCCTTCCTTCCTTCCCTTCCTTCCTTCCTTCCTTCCTTCCTTCCTTCCTTCCTT